GTGCTAAACTTTTTGTTTAACCCGCAAATTATTTTCTTTTATTGTTCGTTTTTAGTATTTATAGAGCTTATTTTTATACATTCTTGACTTGCTAATGACGTTATGCTAATGTCGAAACGTCGTCGATTTTAGCTTTCTATAACTTTTTATCGCTTTTAAATTTTACTATGTTAGCAAGCAACGTTTTGTCGCAAGTTTTTATCGTCAAATTTTTTCTTTTTTTTTTTTTTTTACTCGCACCACGAACTTCCCTCCGAAAAGTGGGGACTGCTTGTAGTATAGTCCGATCATAAGAGAACTGTATCTCTCGAAAACGATCGTGATCTAAATTTATTTCTCTTCCTCTGATATTTACCAAATGCATTTACGTTTATACTTTCCTTTTCTGACCCATTCGACTTAACATAAAAATTTAGAAATCAATACAAACAGTTTATGTTGACATATATGTCTAGACAAAATCAACATGTCAATGAAACTTTATTAAACACGCAAACGGTGCATGTAACCTAGAACCAAAGATAGGACGCGCAACCCATCAAGTTTTTCTATCGATAATGTTCTCGTTCAAGTAATGGCCTTAATAATAGACGTGTAAACCTTGGAATAAACGACTGAGGACCAGTAAAATATGTGGAGGTTGATTCATTCATCGCAGCTGAAGTAACTTATAATTAGATAACTGGGCGCAGGCGCCAGTTAATAGCATCGTGCAAAGCATTCATGCGAAAGAAAATTGCAGAATTCGCAACTCGATAAATTTTTTACTCCTTTCCCCTTAGTATCGCTCTCGATAAAGGATTTGCCGTATGCTATTCACATACTAAGGATGAGTAATAATTTTCTCTTCTTTTTTTTTTTTTTTTTTTATTGTTGTATTGCACGCGTTGCACACCTATTGCTTTCGGCTATAATAAGACATCAGTCCAAACATAGAAACGAGACAGACAACAACGGGGAAATTCCCTGTTGTCTACCGGAACTTGACCCTGTTTTCAGTTTCGTTGTACTTAGTACTTTCGCTTTCCTTCAGTAAACATGCCGGTTTCCGTGACTGATTTACAGCGTGTTATGGCCATTCTGGCCGATGAAGATGAACTTAAAGTAACCGTTAAAGGTGCTACTTATGGCGGTGTTATCGCTGGAATTACTACGACTGTTGGAGGACTTGTTGGCGGTCCGGCAGGGTTGCTCGTTGGAGGCGCTCTTGGAGGAGTGTTAGCTTATGGAGCTTCTGGAGATTTCAAGCCTGCTTCCCAAATAATCAAAGACATGAATGCTCATGACAGGCAACTTCTTTACGACAGTGTCAAAGAAATCGTCGAAAACGTGGCGGTCGACGATTACCTAGCTCTTATCGCCTTCCTGAGTGGCGGTCCTGGATTGTTGGTTCGACAACAACTCATGGATGGACTGGTTTCGTTTCTGAGGAACAATATGCGACTACAAGTACCTCAAAGTTGAGTCCAGTTTCGAAGAGAGTGACATTTAATAAAGATTCATACCAGTGTAACAGATAGAAGATGTATAACGAATGGTTAATCACTACAGACAAATTTAGACTTTGACGTACGTAGCATTGTTGTTAATGATAACCATCATAAGCACGTGGTACACAAGTATCTTGAATAGTTAAATGTGACCATGATATAGTCCAGAAATATATTTGTATTATCCGATAGACAGAAAGAAAAATGTATTTGTGTTAATTTTCAATTTCCCTTGTCTCTATATCTTTGTAACATTTGTGACACTCTTTCTCATTTCTTATTTAAATTATTTTAAAAGTAACTGTATTTAGGTGTAATGAGTAAGTTAATTTTCCGAACTTTTGGCCAGATTACTAAGATGGCATGTTGGCTTGATAAGTTGTCATTGCAGCTTTGATAACTTTTGATCACATATAATTTATTGACGGACACAAGGAAATAAAGTTAGGCTGATTCAGGTATAATTTTGTGAAACAATTTTTTTTTTCAACTGGGGATGACATGCAACAAAACTGGTAGTTTACTACCAACGGTAGAACATCAGAGCATGAAATGTTCAGTTTTGGGGCTTAATTCCTGACTGGAGACTCATTTGTTTTCTTGGTCCTAGACTCTTGCAAATTGAATATCTATGGTAATTCAATGTAAAAGCTAGATATGAACCACCTTTCTAAACCCTTTATATCCTAACATCAGTACGCATATTTTCTGTACTGCTTCACAGGTCCAAAGGCACATTTCAAATTCATATTAAAGAGTAGAGAAGCAAGTTCTGGCACCTGGACCAATCCATTTTGTTTCTTTGGCTTTTAGTTTTATTGTATACTTTTCCTAACTTTTGAAACCTCCCATGAATGAAAGCGGTATAGCTTTATGGGCCCATTACGTTCCTAGGACCTTCAAGAAACGGGCCTCTGGTCAGGTTTAGTACATCAAGTTCTTTAGCAAGACACTCAAGTGCCTCTAGCCATCCAAGAGCTTGAGTGGGTACCAGTGAACTGTCAGTCAGGAAAATTTGACAATTGCTGGTTGTTACTTCCAAACACCTGACATTACATCAAAGAGGAATAACAGATAAAGATTCTACCTTCCCTTCTCCCTTTAGTTAGATTAAAGAAGAATTAGGCCTTCCTTCTTATTACACTTCTTTGAGTGTAGATAAGCCTTATATCAAAATTTCCTTCATTAACCCTATACACCCTTACATCAGCATGCATATTCTCCATACAGTTCACTAACCATTTCCTATAGAACCAACGAGAAGAATTTGTTTGAAAATCAACACCTTTTAGTTTATGATCATTTCCTTTACTCTTGTGACCTTGAAGTGTAACCTGGTGTGATATTGCAAGGAGAAATTGATGCTGTTCACTCTTTTTGGGTCAAAGAAAGATCAACTTGAAATGTCAGTGACTATTCACCTAATGGGTAGCAATGGGTTATAAAATGATACTCTTTGAAAATTAGTGGATGCAAATCACTCATCAGTTTCAGTTATTCTAGCAATTCTTTGGGGCATCCTTTCCCTTGAGAGTTTAAGTTTGAGTTTAGTTTAAGTTTAATTCATTCGCCACCAGAATGGTAGGAGAAAGGAACAGAACTTTTGTTCCAATTGACACCTAACCCCTTTTTTACCCACCCATCCCACCCCGGGGAGGACACCCATCACACAGTAAACTCGTGTGTGGGAAATAAATGTCTCCCACCCCAACCCTGCAGGAGACGGGACCTCCATTTATCGTCCCTATCCGAGAAGACTAGAAAGTCTAACCACTTGCAGGTATCATTACAAAGGCAGCACTTTCTTCTCAGTTACTTAAAGATCCTGAGTGTTGGTCCGGCCAGATTTGAACTCACAACCTCCCGCACAACAGTCCGGTGCTCTACCAATTGAGCTAACCGGGAGGCGATAGAAGAAGTAGCCAAAAAAAATTGTTTGAAATGCTGATCATGTTTCCTATAAAAATTGCACTCCACTCAGTTCAATTACCATTATTTATTACAAACTTGAAACTCATATAATCAAAATGTCTACTTTTATATAAAATATATATATATACATCCTCTGATTGTTGCAATTTACACTATGGCATTAATTGAGTAAAAATTATTCCTTGATTATCAAGCTAATTTAATGCAAGTAACCTTACTTTCTACATTACGTATTACAATCAATCCAAATCTACAAACTAAGATAATGTCAATCTGTTGTTACTATGTACCCTTAACCAGATAATTTTATTTAATTTTTGAGTTACTAATTTCAATCAATAAAATAAAACTTATAATTAATTAATTAAAATCTAAATTTCTCCCCTTTGAACTTGAAATAAGTGAGGAAACTCGTTTCCCAAAAAACTATTCAATTTTAGAATGAAATAAAAACACACTTACAAAGGTGTAGATGACTACAAAATGTCTCTAACATGGTATCTTAGTTGGAGAGTTTTCAGTGTCAGTAGACTCAACTCTTAAATAAATATATAAAGGGTGAAAGTTTCTAAAGAAACTGTGGTGCTGTGTCGGTGGGGGTAACAAGGTAATTTGGTTATGTCAACTAAGTTGAAATTGTAAATAGGCCACTGTAATGAGTTAAAAGGCTGATGTTTTGAGCGTTAGCCCTTTGTCAGAGAAAAGGATAAAGGGCTGATGCTCGAAACGTCAGCCATTTAACTCTTAAATAAATATATTCTTAAACAGGTGTACTTATTATTATCTTACAACTTTTATTTTCTCTCTTTCCTTTCTTAATGTCTCTATACTCTACTCAACTTTTATCTTTTATTTATTACAAGCATAATTTCAACTGAGTGACTGCAAAATTATTATTACAGACTGTTTCAGTTGCCATTGAATTGGCAAGATTGAAGATGCATATATCAGGTAACAAAATGGCAGATTACACCATTGAGGGGAGATGAGGCTTTCCTTTCCTCCCCACTAACTTTTAATTTTTATCACTATCTCTGGTCTAGAAACCTCTTTTTTTTTAACCTCTCGGGGAAAAAAACAATAAAAATAGTGCACAATAAAAATCTCCGGTCAATGCAAATCTTTCTAACAGTTATGATCCATCATATAAATTTGCTTGCTTAACTAAAGCAAGCTTTGCTCCTAGAAGGGTGTTCACATCTTGAAACAGATAAAGTCCACGGACAAATATTTTTGCACCAAATAGAGGATAGTTTTTCAAGATATTTGGTACAACCCATTCACTCCACAAAAATTACATAATTTACAAATTAAATCCTGTCTCATGTACAAAAGGTTTATTTAAAACAATCTAAGCATAGTCTTCATCCTCATCATCATCATCATTGAATAAATGCAGACGCTCATGTTTTCTGTTGCGCTTGAAACGGATGCCTTTCTTTGTAGCTTGATTACAGGCCAGATATATCAGAAATAAGTTGGCTAGTAAGCTGACTGCACATACACTGATCACTGCCACAAACCACAAAAAGAACTTACTGAAAAAGAAACAAAGAAAACAACACCATTCAAGGAGCCTTACACAGTGGAATAAGTAACAAACTCTGTACAGAAGTCCTTGTTAGAGTTCTAAGTCTGGTTTCCTGTACTCAAAAGCCTCTAGGACCAACTGACATTTAAATTAATGTTTCATTTTACTCTTGGGGTAAATAGCTATGTATAAGAAGATACTTCTTGAGTCATTGCTGCATAAAAAACAATCACCTTAAGACAGCTTTCAAAGCAACTGGTTCTTAGCCATTCTTGAGGGATGCAATATTGGTAGTTTATTATGTTGCTGTGTCTCACAAGGACTGGGAAGTACTGAATTCATGAATTTGATTGGCTGAAATCAATAATGAAAACTGTCTAGATTTTCCCATCTAGACCAGCACCTAGACCAGTCTAGAAAAAAAAGGTACAAAGAATATAAAAAATTGGCAAATAAGACACAGCCATATAATAAACATCTTATTAACCGAGCTAGGTCGGTCTGTATGGGAGAATCTTGACCTCAGTCGCTGGTACAGACCGAACGCAGTGAGGTCTGTACTGGTGACCTTGGTCAAGATTCTCCCAGACAGACCTCCTGCTCGGTTAATAAGAACTAAACAATGTATTTCCTCAACTAAGCACCCATGCTCTAACAAGTTCCCCCTCCCTCCCCACCCCACTTTTTAACTGCCGCTTCAATTATACCCTTTTAAGCTTCAACTGCAGTGGAATCAGTACATGAGAATAAGCCCTTCCTTTTAAGCTGAATTTTGAATGAGTGCCCAAGTCCTTATTCCAGGAAATAAGGTAAATAAACTTTACATGTCTGATCATGAGCATAGTGCATTACCTCTTAGCTCTTTTTGTATCACATGTTATACATCAAATTATGAATATGTTTTGATACTGTAAAGACGACATAATTTCTTAGCTTTTACCTGAATTCCTCTTCCATTTTTGCACCTTTTTCATTATTTGATTGTACTACAGTTTCCTTTGGTGATGTTCCCTTCATCTTTGAATCTAATTCACAATGCAGCCCTATAACATGAAAATGCACTCATGTGACCAGTAGTCTCTGGTTTCAAACATGTATTACTCTCCTAAATTTCCACATTAGGGCTAAACCTTTGGTAACAAGGGCGAGGACTATTAGGTTATCAGTTTTATTAATGTCAAATGTTACCCTCGGAAAATAAAGTCTTACTTACTTACTTACCTAACAATCTCTCAGGTGATAGAAAATGGCTACTCAAGCCTTACAGCTCCTCCATCATAATTTATGAATTACAAGAAATTTCAAAGGTCTGTTAATGTGTGGTAGTTGGGACCTTTTCTGCTCCCAGGATTCAGATTCCAATTCTCTACACTGTCTACCATACATTCCTAGTTGACATTTTTATTTTTTCTCAGCACCAATCTTATTGAACAAATATGAAAAATTACTCACTGTTCACTGTAAAAAGCAAAAGGCTTAATGAACCAACACTTAGGTCGGGATAGAAACACCCTGGCATTTTCATATGCACAGAGGAAATGGTGTTTCGCCTGAAAGCAAAATGTGATAAATGATCCATCTCAAAAAATTAACTGGGAAAGATAAAGTTGCCTTTTGTTAATTAGCTAAGTATTAACTAAAGGCATGATGTACATGTATCCCCCAATGTTTACACCGTTAACGTCTTTAATAGAATCAAACTTACATCTCTGAGTAGAATTTAGCATACTAAGGTTGTTTTCAGAAGGGCACTCTCCAGTTACAGGATCACAATCACAAGTATGAGGGCACTTGCAAATCTTCAAACAATTCTGTCCATAACTACCATGAAAACAGCCTGAAACAACATTTGAGAGATTTCAGTAGTTAATTAGTCAGAAAATATATCTGGTACTCTTCTCTAGTACCAAAATGATGGCTGATCTGACATAATTATGTCAATTTAGGTACGCCCACACCACTGTTCAATTGACTGAAAAGTGATTTATTGGAAACTGTGATCAAATGGAAGTGCATGACATTAGGAGTGGAAAAAAGGGACACCTTTATGACACAGCTAAAAGGGACTAGTAAAATTGTTATCAAAAATAATGATCATCGTTGCAAGATGTTAAAAGTTGCCTTAAGTATTGCATAGACAACGATCGGAGGTTTAAGTTAAGTTTTAAACCTATGAATAAACTGATTTCAAAAATAAATTTAACTTTAAATTGTGGTTCAAAGACTTTAATTTTAACTCTGATTTTAATTTCTTCAACAAGTTTTTTTTTCTATAGAACACTTAATAACTTTAGTGATGATAGTTTTGGATCCTTCAAAGGTCAGAATTATCACAGGAAGTGTAAATGTTGTGATGAAACTTTTAGGCACTAAATGGAATACTCAGCATTTTGGTTATAGATTTGAGGAAGGCATTTAATTCATTGCACTCTGCTTTATATTAAAACATTTCATTATTTATCATTTTCAACATGTTATTTGATATAAAAGTTACTATGGGAGTTGTACCATCAAAACTTTGGGAAAAGTTACCACTTTTCTTTTATAAGATAATGAGCACTCAAAGTTGGGTTTTTTCGGTTCTTTGAAAAAGTCAAGGCCTGCTTCAAGTTGAAAGAGGATGCAGTTTACCATTTATTCAAGTTTATTTTAAATAGTCACAATGATTGTGATACAAATCAGGGAGCGAAGAAGTTTAGCTTAAAATCATACAAGGGGATCCTGTACATTTTAATCATTAATTTGAAAGTTTTGTTATGGTTCTCATTATTATTAATAATATTTGTTTTCATAAACATTTATGTAACTATGTATTCTCTCAAATTAGAGCACATTTAAATTTAAAGTAAGTTTCATGTTTGATTGCATGCAAAGAAATGATTGATTGCTTTCATACATTTGAGTTTAAAGTTTTAAAACACTCCAGACTGAATGCTGTTAATGTGGATCTCTTCACATTTCCAGTTTCATAGCTAGAGGCTATGGAACTTTTAAAGAAGCGTTCACATCTATTTTACAGGTAAAATTATCCAGGTCTGTGCCTCTCTTGGCAAAATCAGCATCTGACAGGAGAGCACTTACGCTGCTGACAGAATGCTCCTGTCCATCCAGGGGTACAGGTACAGTGACCATCTATTGGGTCGCATGTACCATCATTTTGACATTGGCATTCTCTACTGCAGTTCAACCCAAACAATCCAGATGGACAGCCTGTTACAAGGTAAGAATATCATAAACATTTTGTAGCAAAAAAATATATTAAACATTACTGCAGTCTTTCTTAGCATTAACTACTCACTATTTCAGCATGGGCAGACCACACTATGGAACCCCCGCACCCTGGTCCAATATTTGTTTATTTTGCATAACCCTTGTACATTGTGGATTTTGTGTCTCAAGACAACAATTATGAACCATAAACACATGGTGTGCCAATGATTTCAGGTTTAAAAAAATTGAACCAAAAAAAAGCATTAGAATTGAAAGAGAATGAGGAGAATTTTGACATCATAGTAGCACTATAAATTGCCTTTGTGTAAAGTGCTAGTCTGTATGTTGGCCATGTGGCTTAATCCTTTCAGTGTCAGTAATGACTAAAAAAAAAAATATTCATTCGATTCCACCTTTAATTCTCTATTTCTGTGATCACTTATACACACCTTCACTACAATTCTCTCCTTTCCAACCAGGGAAACATGAACAGCCATCTGTGAAAAAAACAACACACTGATTTACAACTGCTTGCTTAGGGAAATTATGGAATAAAACTATAAATTCAGCCCCAACCTCCAAAAAAAAATTTCATTAAACAAAGAGAAATTTAAAGTTGTTGTGTGTCTGTTTAGTAATAGATCACAGATGAAGGCAAAATGTAGCAAAATTTAATGAGCGTAGCACTGATGTTCTTTCTGATAAACAAGGCCTGTGATTTCACCTTCAGTAGTGCATTTTCCATTTGAAGAGCAGTTGTGTTGTCTGCATTTTAATACATCGCATGAATCTCCAGTCCAATGACTGTCACAAAGACACTCCCCCATCACACACTGTCCATGGCCACTACAATCCTTAGGTATGCAGTCAGGCTCGTGTGCACACACAACTGTTGATACCTTTCTGGAGCATGTGAAGTGGCCACTAGAAATATAATAAAAGGAAAAAATTACCAACTTTTCTGCTGAGCATGGAATTGAGATATGTAAGTGCTTCTGGAGTTATTCTGATTTGACTCCTGAGATTGACAAGTTCCAAGAAACTTGAGGAGGAAAAGTACACATTTAAAAACTACCGGTACATTACCGTTATTCAGCCAAGTGGAGCTGGCTAGTGGTGGATTACAATTTACCATGCTGCTTGCCACCGACATTGAAGTAAATAGCTGTTTTAGTATATACCAAACCAGTCAGAAATGATGTGTCACAAAAAGATGATTTTAACTCATTCATTCTTGCAATAATTGCTGTAACAATATTTTCAGCCACAAATCACTCAAAAAGTGCTAGGGGATCAATAGCAAAGGAAGGTTGTTTCAGTATATACTAACATCTATCATAGCATAGTTTTACTTCATACTCAATTTTTATTTGTTTTTGGGTTTGGTAGTATATATGATAAGGGTTTCAAATAAGGTGAAATAATTTGAAGCATAAATAAAATTGAACCACAGACAATAAAAAATCCACAACAGTGTGCTTATTAAAAAAAAACAAATAATTTTGTATTTGTTACAGGCTAGCATGGAATTTAGATTTAAAAGTTTCAAAGTACCTTGATTTGTATTTTCTTCATTTAAAAATAATCCATGATAATAAATTTCTTTAAGCAAAGGAAAATTCAACTCAAACTTTACAATTATTTTAACTAATCAACATTCATTTCAAACTACAACATACATGTTCTTTTTTGAAAAAAATGCCAAAACCAACTAAGAAAATTCTAAGAGCAATTTCATGCATTCAATTTGTGAGCAAGAAAAAGAAAAAGTGTGACTTCTAGGTAACACACATCATGGCCTTAAAACACATCTGACTTGTGCCCCCAAATCTAGACAAAGAGTTATAGACTCACCACTCATCTGAAGGGTAGTTTACCAGTGTGTTATTCACTACCATTGTTGCTGAACCTCCTCCATCAAGGTTTATTGCATTCACCAGACCAAATTTCAACAAAAGCCTGGCAAAGCTGTACAGATCAATCCTAAATAAACCAAACATATCATTAGCTTCGGTTCAAATTAACCCAAAGTCAACATGTGTGATTGCACTTTAGTTGTTGGTTGTATACTTCAAGTTGAAGGTCTTATTGATCACTTGTCACAAAATTATAATAACATAATATAGAAACAAAATGATTAAGGTACAGAGAAATGCATTTAGATGACATTCTTTAACTATACCTCCAAAGAAGGAGACAAAGGGTTGAAACAGAACCCATGATTAGTAAGGCCAAAACTAATACCTAACAGAAAAGTGAGCAAGATTTGTAAATTTATTGGCCAGCATGAGGCATGGTTGGCCTCCTGAAATATATAAATACATGAATTTCTTCTTTCATTTTGTGAAAACCTGAAGGTTTCCCTGAAACCTTGCACACAAGGAGAAAGATTGGAAGTTTTTCTTTTAAATTTGTGACAAATGAAATGTTGCTAAAAGTTTGCATGACACATGCATTTTTTCTAAAATTCATGCCTCAGGACCCCCCTTTAGTTTGCTAACCTATCCAAGAGGTCCAGGCACAGGTGTCAGGCTTAACTATGACTTGAAATAAAGGCTGATAGTTTCGAAAGAAACTGTTTGGGGCTGCGTCAGTGGGAGTAACAAAATAATTTGGATATATCAACAAAGTTGAAGTGGTAAATTGGCAACCGTAACGATTACAAAAGCTGATGTTTCAAGCGTCGCTTCACTCTGACGAAGGGCTAACGCTCGAAACGTCAGCTTTTGTAATCGTTATGGTGGCCAATTTACCATTTCAACTTTGTTGATATATCCAAATTATGACTTGAAATAACTGTGTTGGAGGTATGAAGTAGCACAAGCTCACTTTCAATGTATAAAATACTTCTCTTGACACTGTCAAGGGCATATAAACCCTAAATTTCATCTGTAGTTTTTGAGAGTATTCTACTGCACTTTTATTATAATTATTCACAGCCAAATCATTGAATGTTCTGACTATTTCCTACAATAATTATCAGTTTGTAAAAATATGCAAAAAATGAACAAGACAATTTCCCAGAACAGTCAGTCATTATAAATAGAAATGTATGGCAGTCAAAAAAGATGAAAAGCAATCTGATATGTGGCAAAAAATGATTACAGCTCCATGGAAACGGATTAGTGGCATGTGAATTCTTGAGTCATGACGATCAAGTGACATGTGATATTAGACAAACATAACATAACACAACATAACATTTATTCAGGAAGCTACAATGCAAATATAAAAAATACAACCTAAAAAGGGAAAATCGTGAGGTTAGCCCTGTATTTTCAAACTTGCTCGGAAAAAAAAATCTCCCACTTCTAATCATTATGGACAGCAAAGATAACATCAATTAAGGAAGTTTAACACTTGCCCTCTGTGATGTGTTTTTCCGTCAGTCTGAACTATCATAACCCTTCCCTCTCTGTCGTGTCCAAGCGCTGTTCTTGCAGACACGACATCGGCAAACAAGTCCATACTGCCTGTTTCCTCAGTTTCGCGACATTCAGCGGTCTTGCTTTCACTTATGTACACCATGCCATTTCTTAGTATCCAGATTACCCCAGATACGAGCTGTACAAAGGGATTTTCTTCGTCATCAACCATGTCCTCGGATAAATACCCCACAAGGATAGAACCATCTTTGCGAATACCGAAATTTGCATTTTGAACCCCACCAGAATCCTGGACTTTTCTTCCATCACTGAAAACATTCCCGTAACACTTGCCATCCTTAGTTCTAAAAAATCCTGCATTTGTAGCCACCCAACATTTCCGCTGCTGGGCAGATTCTGCAACAGTAGCTCGTTTGTAAGTGCTACAACCCCCGACTTCCTTCGGTTCGAGTACCGAAAATGTCCGAAAAGGATCCTCTAAAGTAACGACGTGACCGACAACGTCCCTTTCCTTGTTAAGTCTTGTGTATCTGTGATAAAAATTCTTCACCTGGACGAAGGTTTGACCCGGTTTTAGGTGGCTCGGAACTTTGAGCGTTTCGTGAGTTCTGTTACCATGGAAAATAGGTTGGCAGTCTCGAACATGTCTGTGTGTTCTTTTCGTTTTGTAATAATCCTTATACGGCGTTAGAACATCATCTGGGAAGGGATCGCTGGTTATTTCAATAGATGCATGCTCCAAAGCTAAAATGTGCAGAAACGCAGTAGAAAAACAGACGAACAACCTCATAATTTGCAGGTTTATCTCTAAAAGGTCTAACATTACCTGAGAAAGTTCGCGTTTGCTAAAGATTCTGCGCCTACAGTGCTGGAAAGTAAATCAGCAGAGTAGTACACGAACATGACAAACGTCGTGTAATTGTAATAGTACTATTCTCGGATTTTAAGCACTACATTTTCTTTCCGGAAAAATGTTGCCCACAAAGTTTGTCGTCCAGCCCTCGGAGTCTCTAAAATGCCCCATTTGCAGGGAACTATTCAGAGATCCGGTTATTTCGACTCAATGCGGTCATACGTTTTGCAGAAATTGTATTCGAAATGGGGTTCCTCTCACCGGAAATTCGTCAACGAAATGTCCTCTTGATGGAACGATTTTACAACGATCACACTTAGTGTCAAACTTAGCAGTGCGAGGCCAAATAGAAGACTTGTTGATACACTGTAGGCACGGTTTAACACGATCTGATTCGGAAGAAGACTTTGATATAGACAGCAGTGGTTGTCAAGAACGAATTTCATTTGGTCGACGGCGAGAGCATGAAGATCTCTGCGGCTTCGCTTTAGTCCCTTGTCCCAACAGCTCAAATCAATGCGGAAAATTTCGACGTAAATGCTTGGAGGAACATCTAAAAGTTTGTGCTCAGTATCGTTGTCAGTATAGTGTCAAGGGTATGTACTTTGGTCGACCTTGTCATTTACACTCATGTATGCTTTGAATATGTTTTGGGACAAATTTGAAAAATTAAAATTTAATTCAGTTTGTCGTTTCCCTTTCATTAGATTCGCAGTTCATCATAATTTAGTAAATAATTGAACATACATGAAAATATTTTATGCATAATTGAATAGATTTCTTACTTTTAGACCTTTCAACAGAATCAGAAAGGCAGTTAACTGTCATTTCTACATGATATCTTGTCGGGAAGTTTTTAATTTTTAACCTTGAATCTAGATTATTTGGTTTTATATGCAAGAGCTGCAACGAAGCACTTTTCAGCTTACAGTATGAATTTGTACAATTTCAGTCCAGTTGTAAGTAATGATCTTGTAATATTTCCAAGGTTGTGAACATGTTGGCACCAAACAGAATGTGGAAGAACATGCAGAAGAATGTAAATATAAACACAGCTCAGATCTTGTCAGGTGCCAAGCTCTACATTCTGAGGTATAGCAAGTTTATTTTGTTGGTTTTCGTTAGCAATAAACATGAACTCCCATTCACCTAGTGAAAAAACCAAATGTTGGAAACAAATCAGTTGCTAATTACTGAAAGTTGATGGTTCTGTCTAATGGTGAGTTTGAAATGTGGTAGTCTAGCTGAGGAAGACTGTTGTCCATTGTCACAGTAGTTAATGCCATTCTTACAACCTGAATAGAAGTGATGATCAGAACCCAAAATCAACTTTTATCACTGGGTTCAAACCATTTGTTGTATAGGTACTGAAGTTTTGTACCCAGTAGGGAATAAACATGAATTCCATGCCTCTAGTGTCATTTAAAGCAAATGTAGGGATCAGTTGCTATTCTGAAAGATGATGGTGTGGTCCAATCATGAAAGTGAAATGTTGTAGTTCTGAAGAAGATTGTATTCCATAACAGTGACTGCCCTTTTTACAACTTCAGTGGAAGTAAACATGTAACCCATTCAGAACATATGATCAACTCTAACTACTGGGAATAAACCATTTGTTGTATACTAAAAGTGTTGTGCCCACCAGGGGATGTGTCTTTGGGGAAACATGGCTGATACATGTTTCTAGAACTTATATTTTTTTTAAAGACTTGTTTTGCCACTAAATGAAATTACTTTGTTCAAGTGCCTCAAGTTTGTTTCTTTTTAAAGAAGTTCCTGGCAATCACACATTGTATGGTATTTTTTTAAGATTGGTTGTATTTTTGTCCTTGATACAGTCACTCTGACAAATCTAAGTTTCTAATTGTGAACAGAATGTAATGACCTGTGCTATGATAAGTCTGAAAGTAGCATATTGAACCCTGATCCTTATATTTTGATGCAGTGTTGCAATGAAATGTTGAGTGAGCCTGATTAATTTGTTGCACTACAGATCATCTAATCTTTGTTGTACTGATTTCAGTCCTCCGAGGAGCTAAGATCATCTTTAAAAGTCCTTTCAGATAGAGTGTCTTGGCTAGAAAACAATCAGGATGCTTTAGTGACACAAGTTGAACAATGCAATAGGTTGGTGAATTATTATAAATTAAGTAGAACATTTAAACATCATGATGATTATTGTCCTCGTTCAGTATTTGATTCATGGTGGGTGTAATTTCTGACCTGGAAAAGTTAAAAGATAATGACCATTAAAAGAATTCAGGGAGGGGGGGGAAGGGAGAAAGCTTTATCCATTAAACATTAAAGAATTGAGTCTGTAAAATTTTCCTAGTTAATTGCAACTGGTATCTCCATGCAAATTCAGTGCAAGTACTACTTCTAACTACAAAATTTAACTACTTAAGCATTAAAAGTCATGTCTTTAATTGACGCATTCAAGTAGAATGAAAATTGTTCTCTTTTTTTCCTTCAGTGCTATTTCCAGATTGTCAGAAACAGTAGAAGACCTAGCATTTCAAGTGGAACAACTTTCAGTTATTCTGAAGCGATCATCACTTTATCGTGAAATGTCAATCACCTCCATCCCTGAAACAATCAACAGTTCTCAAAGTACAAGCCCTGATGATACTACCTCATATTCACATGCACATAAATCACTTGTCAGACTCAAGACATCACCCTCAGCTCACCAAGATGTTTGGGGCATACCATGTGTCTTCAAGTGCATCGGCACCTTGAGGTATTTTACAGTCATTTTACAGGTCAAGTGGTCTGTGAACAGTAACATTAATTACTTAAACTTGCAGTAATATTTGATATGTATATGAAGTGTAAAAGTCTGCATGAGAAAAGTCCTGGTATTTTTCTTTATTCTCATCACCTGTCTGCTTGATATTGTTTTGATCAGGGCTGGGGGAATTATGCACTATTTAAGGAGAAATTATGCACCATTTTTTCTGTGATTATGCGCCAAATTTAGCAAATTATACACAAATTATGCAAGTTGTGCAATATTAATTTAAAAAGTATTGAATTTTACATATATTTTAAATTTATATGTAAGTCCACATTAAGAAAACCTAATTATTAATCATTATTTGCCAGGATATTGCTTTAACTCTCTCTTTGGCCGTTATATTGTAATTTTTTTTTTTTGGTTTGAAAAAACTTTCCATTTTAAACGTGAAAAGAACAGGAAAGAAAGTTTCTGGAATAAATTTACCAAAATGGCACCACTTTTCTTTCAGAAGTGTTGATTGGTTCTTTTTCCTCCAATCATATTGCTTGTAAGTCAACAATTAGAGCCCAGGTCAGCAGCAGCAAAAGACAAGAGGCCTGTTCGATTTTATTTGTTTTCCTGCGTGTTTGACATGATCTTTGGTTCTGTCCTGTTGTACCAGTTCACAAGGGAATTATCGCTGTTCTTTCTTTGTTTAGGAGTTATTGGTTAGCTATTGTGTATTGTTTGGTCTTTTGTATTGGCTCTTGTGAACCGGTACACTAGGACAGAACCTGATCTTTTCGATTAAAAATACAGTTTTTGCCATCAAAATTGACTACAATGTGATAAAACTATTTTAAAAAGTTTGAAGGTAGGAAAATTTATCTTTTAGGACATTTTGTTTTTGAAATATCGAGAATTATGCGGAAATTATGCACTTTTTACACGATTATGTGAATTATGCGTTTGAACTAAAATTATAGACTTTTGCATCGGCGCATAATTCCCCCAGCCCAGTTTGATATAGAAAGGAGAAATTCTGTCTTGGTCCCCTAATTGATATTTTCTTTACTCTCATCACCTATCTGTTTGATACTATATTGCTTTTGTAAGGAAAAATTCTGTCTTGGTCTCTCGTGGAGGTTTAAGGGTCACAAGTGATGTTATCAAATCATTTAAGCATTTCTCTGAGGCAAAACTATCAAATGTCAAGTTTTGTGATCACTTAGCTCAAAGAAAAAGTAGATAATCAGAAATAAATTTGCAGATAAAGGTATTAATCCTGGCTGTGACTTTCCAAAGTTTAGAAGAGGTGTTTATTAATTTATTAGGAAATGGTGTGAGAAAGTTGATATTCTTCTGTAAAAATTTAAAACAAAGATTTCCCCAGGAGGTACAGTGGTGTTGGTTTTGATTGCATCATAGCTCAAATATTTTTAAGGGGTCATCGTGGTACTATCTGGTCAATGGTGTCCAAAGGCCATCGTCTATTTAGTGCTGGTGGAGATCAAGTTATCAAGGTTTGGAACGTGGAGAATGTGCGGCTAGCAAAATGTACAGAGGTCCTCGAAGGGCACACTGATGATGTAAGTGAGGACTTATTTTTATGGCAACCATGATTGTACCGGATAAGTCACTGTCTGTGTTTAATTTTACTTTATATTCTGATTTGCTACCCCGCTCAAACGAATATAAAACATGTATCATTCAGTAAGTAACCATAATTGGGGTGTGTCAACACAAGCTGTATGTGACCCGCTTTATTATGCCTTCACCAACAAAATTGATAGGAATGGTACAGCAACCAAATGAAAACTCAGAAATGTAAAAAATATTGCAAGAAAAACCACCCTACAAGACAATGTAGACTATGTTTGTATATGCAAAAAACTACATCTAAGAGAAACTGACAATCCCTAGTCACTGGGTATTTATTTTTGAGGGCATAGGGACGGTTGTAAATGATAACAGCTTGAATATATAGCCTACCACTAATGAAGCAATTGTAACAACATACCATGTAACACCCCAAAGAAAGGGTTACATAACCCATGATAAATACATTTTCTTTGTCTATGGGTATGACCATGATGTAAGTTAACTACTGTAAAACTAATGAGAAACTGTGGTGCTGCATCGGTAGGAGTAACAAGGTAGTAATTTAGTTTTATCAACCAAGTTGAAATTGTAAATTGGCCTTTGTAAAGAATTAAAAAGCTGCTTTAGCCCTTCATCTGACGAAGGGCTAACATTCAAAACATCAACTTTTTAACTCTTTACGATGGCCAATATACAATTTCAACTTAATTGATAAAACCAAATTACTGTAAACTACATTGTAAGTAAGATGAAACTGAAAGTTGCAAGGAAGTTGAATTGCAATCATTATACATCCCTTACACAGTTCTTGTGGTCAAGGGATAAGTCATCACTTTCAGGTTAACAGGGAGTGATTAAAGGTATAAGAAAATGAAAGTGCCACCTAAATATTATATTCTCAGGCTTGATACTTACGTGTGCTGTGTTGTGATTTTTCTTTTTCTACTCTATCTCTCTAGATTCACACCATGTGTGTTGGTGGTGGAAAACTATATAGTGCAGGATCTGATCAGGCAATTATTTCATGGAACTTGGAAAATTTAACTCTGTATAAAAAAGTAGAGGTGTGTTATCCTACGTTGTTTTTTGTTTTATTTTCTTTTTTTTTTTTGTAGGTTTGGTGGGTTTTGATTTTTTTTTTTTAATCTCCATTTTTATTTATTTATTTTTTTCAGAATGCCCATGACAATATTATATGCGCTATTGTTTACAATGGACAATACCTCTTCACCTCTTCACATTCCTGCATTAAGGTACCCTTGAGAAGTTTTTTTAAATCATTTAATTTTGTCAATTTCTTACTTCTGCTTCTACCTGTAATGGTGGATTTTTGATATAACATCTTTTCTCAGGGTGAAAGATATTTTAGAAAGATTATTTTAAAATAGACAATCGTGAAATTTCACCTGTCCTACTGGAAGTTGAACTCTTTGTTGCCATGCAACTGTTTAGTGATAAACAACTGGTGACGTCAAGATGAAACAAGAGCCAACAAGTGGCACATGAGACATAGCCAAGTGTGTCAGTGTCTCCATGAAATCTATTTGTTTTACATATTAATAAAGAAGTAAATCAATGTCAGTGGTGATGTAGACTACAATAGATCACAAATAAGAACCAATAAAAATGCATCTATAAATCAGCTTATTATATAAACTGAAAATTTTGTAGGTTTGGAATGCTTCTACTCTTGAAGAAATACACGAGATGACAGACCTTCATCACTGGGTCCGAGCTTTGGCTTTGGATGCCAAAAGGGTTGGTTAACAACTTTTTTTTTTTGCATATAGAGTGCATTTTGATTAAGGGTCTTAAGAACAGAGTGGAAAAATTACAACAGCCAATCAGAGCAAAGAAAAATATCACAACAGCCAACCAGAGTTAAAAAAAAAAATCACAATAGCCAATCAGTGCAAAGAAGGATATCACTACAGCCAATCAGGGTAAAGAAAAATATCTTAACAGCCAATCAGAGCAAAGAAAAATATCATTACAGTCAATCAGGGCAAAGCAAAATAGAGGAAAATAAAGGAGCCAATGAGAACTCAAAGTTTAAACTAGCAAACTCCCAGACGTACTTGAATCTGATTAGTTGAGAGAGTGGCACAGGTTTCTTTTGGACTAATTACACAAATCTGAAATTTAATTTTCTTAACTATTACCAGATATTCCTTGGTTGGTGATTTGAAAGAATTTTGAGTTAGGTCCAACAGCATTGAGCCTGAGCTGCTAGTTATTTTTTCTTTTTTTTTTTTTTTTTTTTTTTTTTTTTAATTCTCAGTGTAAGTCTGTATAGTATTGTATCAAAAATGTGGGAAGATGGATTTCGTCCTGGTTTTATAATGTACTTCACTTCAAATTAAAAGTTCAATTTTTAACAATGAAGTTGTTGTTTTCTGTTCTTTGTCTCAGGAGAAGTTGTACAGTGGTTCTCACAATGTAGTCCATATATGGGATGCAACAGGCTCGTTTAGTCTCTGGGACACCATTGATCACTCTCTGGGTTCTGTTTATTCTTTGGCTGTCACCAAGCACTTTATTCTTGTAGGTGAGTTTCCGACTCTCTTTTTCCGTAAGGGTGGTATGTGACAATAATTTTAGTCTTGAGTTGCGACGTGGAAAATAACCTTCATCGTGAATAAAACAAGAAAATATCTATTTGGTGATACAGAAAACACAGAATGGAAAAATAATTAACATAGGAATGAAAATGTAAGGGATGGAAAAGAATGACATGAATTGCAAATGAAAAGACGCTTGGGTAGCTATAAAGGGAATTTACGATTTTCTGGGAGCAAGAAAATTAATCCAGCTCGTTTTTTTTCTCTCTACTGGTCACAGGCTGATAATTTGCTTATCAGGCTTGTTCATGTTTAAGTCGATAGTGCATACAGTGTTTTGTTGCGGATAATATTACTCAAAAACCGTCGTTAAAAAGCATAAACACCACTGTAGTACTTAGAGGAACCACTTTCCCTTCCTCCCATAGGTACGTACAATCAGAACATTCACGTGTATGATGTGAACACCTACCAGTCTATCAAGGCTCTTGTTGGTCATATTGGCACAGTCACAGGACTGGCGCCAGCAGTGACAGGAAAGCTGTTGTTCTCGGCCTCCTACGACACGACAGTGCAGGTATAGCCACGTAGTACCACCTCATTACTATAGCTTAAAGAGAAATAGTGCGCTTTATTCCTAACTCGTCAAACTTGGAACGATCATGCAGCTATCTCGTGCCCTCGTGCTGGGCACACCCTCGTGTGCGACAACCTCCTCTAAAGGATCTCTTAATAAATGGAAAGTTTTGAGGGTTTCAGGGTAATTCTTGTTTCCTATCAGGTGTGGAATCTGGATACAATGTTACCCATGCAAACACTCTCAAGACATGAAGGTAGCGTCAACTGTGTTGTTATTCACAAAGATATGCTTTTGTCAGGCTCAGAGGATATGGAGATCAAGGTTCGTTTATTATAACGATAATTTGGAGACCTCGTTCTAAAAGGAACTCTTGAGCCCGTTCTATATCACAGCTGAGATGTGACTTAAGAAATATTTTAAAAGGATTACATCACCACTCTGCCCACGTGCAGCGCTGGCCTATCGCAGGCTCTTCCCTAGCATTTCGTTAGACTCCCTTGTCAGGTCGCTGGTTACCATTTACTACAGGGTGGAGAGAGGTGCTATTAAAAGGTTGCTGTCTTGGCGAGGGACTTTTAAAAAACGCAATTACCATTCCAAACACTTAAGCCATAGTTCAGTCCTTTTTCAGTTTCGCAGGCTACTCCACAGCATTTCGTTAGACTCCCTTGTCAGGTCGTTGGTTACCATTTACTACAGGGTGGAGAGAGGTGCTATTAAAAGGTTGCTGTCTTGGCGAGGGACTTTTAAAAAACGCAATTACCATTCCAAACACTTAAGCCATAGTTCAGTCCTTTTTCAGTATCGCAGGCTACTCCACAGCATTTCGTTAGACTCCCTTGTCAGGTCGTTGGTTACCATTTACTACAGGGTGGAGAGAGGTGCTATTAAAAGGTTGCTGTCTTGGCGAGGGACTTTTAAAAAACGCAATTACCATTCCAAACACTTAAGCCATAGTTCAGTCCTTTTTCAGTATCGC